CATAATTGTAGTTTTACCAAGATTGATGTTGGACTGTTGGGATTACACCAGTTATGAACAAATTCGCTCTCTCGGATCTAAGAAAATTTACTAACAAACAATAGGAATTTGTATAACTTAATTTTGGACATAGACTTGTGTTGATACTCCTTCAAAGCCCACATACAAAGAGTGAATAATGTGAGAAAATTTACTGTGGGCATTTCTAAATGCGATTGTGCTTAAAGAAATTCCAAATGACACAATTACACTTCTTCCCAGTTCTGGAGGATCTCCCAGGATATCAAGTAATCACTTGACAATTATGGATCCTAGGAAATCAACCTCAAGCATTTCCAAAGCTAGAGCAATGCATTTGCCACAAGAATCCGTTACATTATAACATGTTAGTAAACACTAAAAAGAATTCTAATTAATATTTTACTGTCTTTCACATTGCCATTGTATGTGATTTTTGTCGTGGCTATAATTTGGCTATGGGAAGGCTGCGGATACATGTTAATTAATTAAAAAATCATCTCTGTTAGGTGGCGTTGATCGAAGCACGAGGTGTGCTTACCTTTAATGTACAGCTTGTTAATTAAACCCTTCTAATTAGAAATAAAGCTGTTTTGTTGTCAAAGGATTGCATTAATTGTGAATAGCATGAGAAATTAACTCAACAAAGGGTTATGGGCCCAGGAAGAAAATTCCAACGTCGATGCAACCGGATTGAACGATCGACCACGGTAAGCCTAAATTTGCTATCTTAGAAACCGAACCGTTATAACGAATAGAATGGCCGAAATAGGACATGGACAGTTACCGAAGTTTACGGGTAGCAATTTCACAAGCTGGAAGTACCGTATAATGGCCATCCTAGAAAGTAGAGATCTAGGAAATCTGTTAATAGACGACCCACCTACGGATCCCGCCGAAGAGGCGAAATGGAAAAAAACGGACTCCCAGGCTAGAGGCATTTTAACATGTGCGATGGACGACACACAAGTGGCGCTTATCTTAACGTGTAAAACGACAAAACAGATTTGGACCCACTTGAGAGAAAGATATGAAGGGGACTTAAGGAAACAAGCGATAGAGGCCAGAAATAATGTGGCGAGATTAGTAATGAATCGTGACGAGACATGGAGAGATTATCTATTAAGAGGAGAAAAACTTCTAGAGAGTGCTAGGATAATGGGAGCCCAAATAGAGGATGACGAATTCATCACCGCGCTATTGAGAGGTTTACCACAAAAGTACAACCTAATAGCCATGCAATTCGACAACCTAAAAGACCCCAAGATCTCCGACGTGAGAAAAACCTTCGAGAGATATGAAGAAAGAAATGGGCTCGAACAGAGGGAAAACCTCACAGCCTACAGAGCGTATCACCCACCGAATTATAAAACTCCAAAGGACAATGCACAAAGAAAATCTCGAACGAGGGAAACGCTATGCTACATCTGCCGTAAACCAAATCACAAGGCAATTGAATGCTGGTTGAACCCGATTAACAAAGCAAGGAATAGAGACAAACGGGACAACATCGATCTCGACAACCGAAGATCAAACTTCAAAACTTCTAAAATAGCTTGGGAAAACTCAGCTAGAGTGAACGATAACCGACAGAGAAAAGAGAAACCAACTAACGAGGGTAACAACAGACAGAGAGTAATGACTTTAAGTACAAATGGAGAGCCAGATACATGCTGGATCATAGATAGTGGGGCGACCAGCCACATGACTCCAAATCGCCAATGGTTAGAGAACATGAGAGAAGATACAAAAACAATCAC